GGAGCCAGCCCCCCCGCCATTCCCTAGACAAGCTGCCAATGGCTCTGTCCCAGTCCAGCTGGGCCCTGCGGCCACTCATTTCCACCCCAAACCCCAGGCCCCACATGCTGCCCTGGCTGGGCAGCAGCCCCAGCCCTACCCAACTTCCTTCCTCTCACCCTCACTATGGTGGCCTCTATCCTTCCTTCCCACCCCCTAGACCAGGGGTGGGCAATTATTTTGGGTGGAGGGCCGCATACCCAGTTTTGGCAGGTTGTTGAGGGCCGCGTGGGTAGCCCCACCCCTTGACAGGTGCCCCGCCTCCTGGTCACCGTCTTGGGACCAATGTCCCAGGGCCAGCACTGGTGGGGCCCAGAGCGGGGCACAGGCTGGCAGGGGTCTGTGGAGCCAGGCTGGGCTGCATCAGCAGGGAGTGGGGAGCTGGCACGGCTCCATAGAGCCCCTGCCAGCTGGGACCCCATTCTCCTGCCACCCTGTTCTGGGCCCCACTGGCACTGGCCCCGGGACACTGGTGCAGGCCCTGTGGTCCCACTGGCTCCCCGCCCACTCACACCCAGTGTCCCCCAGCCCCGCAGTACAGGAGGGGGCAGTGCACAGCCCCAACCCCCTGCTCACCAGGGAAGGAGCTGGTGTTGAGTGTGGAGAAAAGGCCCCTCACCCGCCCCACGGCCGGCGCTCCCTGCTGCAGGCGCTTGCAGCTTGTGTGGGGCTGTCTGGAGCAGGCACAGGCAGCCTCATGTGGGCTGCAGGTGGCCGCAGCGCGGGGTACTGGCCATGGGGGTGGGCGAGGGGCCACTTTTCCCCGTGCTCAGCACCAGCTTGTAACCCACCCCACTGCCAGCCTGGCAACGGGGCAGGTTACAAGGTGGTGCTGAGCGCGGTGGGGAGGGAGTAAGCAGTCCCTCGCCCACCCCATGCCTGGCACCCCGCGCTGCAGCCACTCGCAGCTGGCCTGGGCCTGCCTGTGCCTGCTCCAGACAGCCATGCGCAGGTTGCGAGTGCCTGCAGCAGGGAGCACCGGTCATGGGGTGGGCGAGGGGCTGCTTTTCCCTGCACAGGGAAGGAGCCCAGGAAAAAGCTGAGCGTGGGGGGGAAGCGGTCCCTCCCCCACCCTACGCCCGGTGCCCCATGCTGCAGACGCTTGCAGCCTGCATGGGGCTGTCTGGAGCAGGTACAGGCAGCCCCACACAGGCTGCAAGCAGCTGCAGCGTGAGGCACTGGGCATGGGTGAGGAGCGGCCGCTTCCCTGCCCCGTGCTCCTTCCTTGCCTGGGGTCCCCCCACTTCCCCCCCTTACCTGAGCTTCCCGCTCCAGAGCAGCCACATGCTCCCAGCTCAGAAACCCTGGCTGGGGCTTCTGGCTGGGGGGCAGGGCTGGGTAGGCCCTGCTGTTGTTGGAGCCCATCAGGTTTCCTCTGGGTCCTACTGCCCTTGCTTCCTGTCATTTTTGACAGGAACTAAGGGCAGAGAAATATTAATTTTCTTCATTTTTTTGGGGACTCCGCAGGCTGGGTAGAATGGCTTTGTGGCCCGTGTTTTGCCCACCCCTGCTCTAGACTTAACTGCAGGGAACTGTGGAAGCTGCTCTCCACGCTGCCTGGTTGCCGTGTGCATGTGGTACCCCCTTCCTGATAGCCCTCCTCCCACTCCCCTGAGCCCCTTGCAGGTTGGAACTCTGCCAGCCTGCAGGGGGAAACCTGCAGTTTACCACTTTTTTCTCCTTTAAAGGAAAAAAAATTCCGCATTTTACCGTGTTTTTCCATGGTGAATGGAAAACCCAGATCCCTGGTTATAACACTATTAATCACTTCTGGTTGAAGTGGGACGATTGTATAGGAAGGAATTTAAAGTTCATGGGGAGAGAGGGAAGGAAGTACTGTAACTTAGTGACAGCTGCATTTTTCCGGATGGAGGAATTCAGATCCCTGTTTGCCCACACTATGTATTTTATCCAGTGACTCTTTAGTGCAAAATATGTAAGCAGTTCTCATCCCAATCTAGCATATAGATTAATGGTTAGGGTACTATCCTATGAGGTGAGGGTGTGTTTGAATTCTCTCAGGTTCAAGAGATGATCTTCCTGGTATGCTGACTATCTTAATCTTATTCATAATTGCCTAGTGCTGCTTGTTTACTTCATGGGGAACCTGGGTGTTCAAATTAAAATGGTGAATTTCGCTCCTGGAGTCAGGCACATAAAAGATATTGTGATGCTCAGAGCTGCTAACTAAATTTCAAGCGTCTTGACATTTGGCTTCCAATCCCAGCCACTATTAATGACGTTTTTTCCCATTCTGTTTCCAGGATGTGCAAAGCTCTAACTTTGTCTAACACACTATATTTTTCTCACATACATGCACCCTGAGTAAGATGCACATCTTGTTTTTGAAAGGCAAAATGAAGAAAAAAGAACTTTCCTTGTAGTAAAAAACTGAGTAGCAGCACCTAGGGAGTTAAGCCTGCAAATTATTCTGGTTCCTGTGGAACTGTGGTGGAGTTGCTTTTGGTTTTGTCTAGCATTAGTTGTTGTTATCATATTTTCTCAATCAGTTTCCCCTCCCCAGTTTCCAGGAGTTGTTTTTGGGAAATGATACATGCTTTTGTGCGAGAAAATACACTGCTTCATTTTCAAAATGAGGTCACCTTGAAACAGCAATGCATATCTTTGAATGAAATGTGTTTTTATTAATAATCTTTAGTTGTACATTTATGTATAACCTTAGTAATTAATATTATTTGTTATTTGTAGTAAAATAAGAACAAATACTACTCTGTAAGAAATGGAGTGTGCCTGAGAAGGGGGATTTTTTTTTCCCTGGATCCAGCACTTTGTTCTTTATCAACTGTAACACTCATGCTGAATGTTTTGCTTTCTGCAATTGGACAGGGAAGGTCACAAGTCAGGAGTCTGCGGGTGGTGAATGGAGGGCATGGACCGTGTATATGGCATTGTTAATATTATAGTGTGTCTTGTGAAACTTACAGCAAATAAATAAATAGACTTTTAAAGCTGTCTGTGAAATAGGAAAACATTTTACCAAAATACACATTTTGCTAGAGAATCAAGTGTTAAAATTTCTGATAGGGTTGGAGCATTGTTGTACCTGTGATGGTCCAGGAAATGTTAAGAGACAAGATTTCTTTTGATTTTGAACTGTTTTAAGAGCTGTTGGACATGTTTTCGGGAATCAAGTGCTCTCCCTCAGTTCTAGAAAGGCACTTGACATTTCTGGGAATAAATGAAGAAACTATTAGTTGTCTATTTTAGAACTCTGAGCTAGTTAGACCATAGTCTATGTCAGTCTTGATCATACCTCAATATATTTTTTTTTTTAATTTTTTTGAAATTTTGTATTTAGGTATTGTCCTGGAAACTGATGCCAGAGAACTATCCGCCAAGTGATCAGCTGCCTCCCCCCTCATACATCTACGGCTCTCAGCATTTGCTGCGGATGTTTGGTAAAATATAAACTGTAGAGTAAAAGACAATCTGTATCTTAAGTTGGTGGTTTTCCATTAATATTTGATTTTTTTGCACCACCTCTGCTCCTCGGCAGCTTCAAGGTTCCTGTTGTCAAATACAGGAGACTCTTGCTATTCGCAGACGATCTGTTCCAGAGATCCCCTGTGAATGGCAAAACCCGTGAATATGTCAGGAGCCCGGCAGCAGGAACCCGGTGGCAGCAAGTGCAGAGCTCCCACAGACGCTGCCGGTGCTGTTGGCAGCGGGGGAGGGAAGAGGAGCGGGCTGGATGGACCTGCTGAAGCCTAATCTTGAGAGAGAAGTTTCCCTGGGAACGGGGTGGCAGATCAATTGATCTGCGAGCTTGGAGAAACTCATGATCCACAATGAGAGTTAATTGCTGTCACGCTCCCTCAATTACTGCAGCAGCAAATCAGTTAATTAATGAAAGCTATAAGGAGAGTGCGTGAGAGCCGGGGAAAGCGTGCGGGGAGAGAGCATGGGTTTGAATATTCACACTCGCGAATGGCAAGTCTGCGAATGGCGAGGGTTTCCTGCACTTTCAACTGTTGTGTGACTTAAATAGGAACTAACAGTTCAAAACGGCATTTATTTAATAGTCCTGCTAGGAAATTATATAAAAGCAAATTGTTGGTATGTGCCTCATTCACAAGGGTGGCACAACACTGCTAAATGGAACCTTTTGTATATTTGGCATGTTGTACTTGAAAAATATGTGCATCAGCTTTTTTAAAATCCATTTTAAATATGAATTTAAAACGGTTATAAATCTATTGTGTTTTGAGTCTGTGTTGGATCTACAACCATTCATTAAAAAAAGCAAAAATGCTTCTAGTGCACTGTTAAACTTCAGTAAACAGGATAATACTGACTTTTTAGGCATATTTGTTATGAAAATGATGAGTTTTGTGGTGCTAAGTATTTGCCAAAGGGAGGCAGAAGCTGCTGTGCAAAGCAGTTTTATCTTCCTTTTTTGTGAGTAATAAATCTATATAAGGATGATAATTAAATTAAATAGGCTAAGTATTTTTCATTTTTCTTATTTACAGTAAAGCTTCCAGAGATACTGGGGAAGATGTGCTTTCCTGACAAAAACCTAAAAGCTTTGGTAAAACACTTTGAGATGTTTCTGAGGTAGGTTGACATCACCTATTTGTAACAACAACTACAAGCTTATAATGGTCTAAACTTTTAGGAGAAACTAGTGATTTTTTTTGTGGGGGGGTGCTTCAATGTTTGGCACATGTCGTGAGAAAGGAAATGACCTCTAAGTTATCAGTTTGGGAACCTAAATGGACATACAAGTAATGAGTCATATTTTAAATTACAAGAGTGAACCTTTAAATGTGGAAACATTGAAAGAACTCCAGAAATTCAGATTTAAGGGGAGAAACTAGATGTCTACCCATGGTATGTAGACATGAACGTAGTAATGCAGAATTGTAGCATAAAATGTTGGCTAGTACCCATAATGTTGGCTAGTACCCATAAATGTTGGCTAGTACCCATAGAAAACTGCATCTGACTTGTCCTGGAAATATATTTTTATAAGGGAATATAAGCTCTGCATACAGCTGTTACTGAGGGTAGAATCTGAAGCACTGAGGTTACAAAGATATAACTGAAGTAAGAATTCAGTCTCTAGAACCTTATCTTTTTGGTGGTAAGTTTTTAAAGAAAAAAATCCTGGTTTGTGAAGACTTGTAGCTCTAAAAGTGATATTGTAAACTGAATGACATTTTTGTCTGGAAGGTAGAACTTCTTAATGCAAGTATCCAGCTTTGTGTTGTAATATTTTTTCGTGGACCTACTTCAGTAGTTGGGGGAAGTTGTCACGTAAGCTTTTGGGGATAAAATATCCTTCCTCAGGTTGTATCTACTTCTCTCCTAGATGTAAATTAAACATCATTACTTTTGTTTAACTTCATTATGTAAGTGAAAGTGACCAGTGAACAAGAAAAGTTATCAGGAAACCTGTGAAACAACAGTTATCAGAAGTAGTTAGAGAATAATTTTAAGAATAGTTCAAATAGATAAACCAAAATTATACATGAGCGTTTTTATATGCTGAGCCAAGATTAGAAGAGGGAGCAAATTAGTTATTACAAGCCATAAAATCCTTGTCTTCTGTAAGTCCATGGTTTTTGTGTCCACTGAAATTATGAAGTGTTACCAGGTCTGTTTTCTGATGGCATTATGTAGCCTTTGAGAACAAGAACTGTAAGGTCAGAGATGGAACTGTAGTTCTGTGACATATTCTCCCACTAGTGGTTGGGCATGTATCCTTTTATTATTTATTCAGTCTGGAGCACACTGGTTCAGTCGGGAGCACATTCAGCCACAAAGTTCCCATGAAGACATTTGGTGCAGTGGTTGGGAGTTGTATATTGTGGTAGCCGTGTGTAGGATCCATGGATTTTGATTAGTTTTATTGTGGGGTGCCTTGATCATAGTGAAGGTGAAGATTTTGACAGGCTTTAGATTTGTTGTTAGGCAGGGTTTTGTTCAATTTTGAGTGTGTTGATTAGCGGAGAATGCTTCTCATGAATTTGGCAGGGTTGAGGGGTTATTTGAAAGTCTTTAGACTTAAGAGTAGAAATAACTGGCCCTGATCCTATGCCCTGACCTGAGGCATGTGGATACTGTGGAGACACAGATTTGTATTCGTGTTTTGTAATGGAAGCTTTTTTTCCTACCATCCATGAAAAATTGCTAGCCCAAAACCTTTGCTTAATAACCTTGGCATTACCAATATGTTTGTTGTTTAAAAAAAAAACAACAACAAAAACTCCTTTCTAGACCTGCCTGCTACTTTTTTTGTATTTGCAGGCATGTCCAAATGTGCATAAAGAAAATGCACCAATTTGTATAGTTCTAATATATTAGCTTTAATACCCGATTTCTGCTATTAGTTTATAACTTCTCAGTACAATTAAATTTTAATATCAGTTTCTGTTGCATAGATATTAAGGAACTAAGTTGTGATGGCTGTAAATCTGGTTGAACTTTATCACACTGTGTCTTAGGCTGAGTTTAGGCAGTTGACACTTAGTCGTGACTGGCTTAGGAGCCAAAGGAACAGTCAGCATTAACCAAAAAGTGACAATAACATCTATGCCTTTCAGTATATTGTGACAAATACGTTTCAGTTTAAAAAGAATATAGATGTGAGAGATGTAATGAATTTCCAATAGAGTGTTACTGATATGGCCCTATGGACTCTTTAACTGTATGCCTTGCAGTATGGATAACTTTTTCTGAGGGGCTGCCTGTGAAAAGTTAGTGATTTTGTAGTGTGAACCTCATTGTGCTAGAGCAATTGATTTGCATCTCAATCTTGGGGAAAATGGTTCCTTGATTATTAATCTTTATTCTTCTTAGAGTAGTTAATTGTCTGGGTGGTACACTTTGAAACAGAAATATTTAGAAGGTTAAAGATTTGATTGAAGTGTTTCCTGCATTGTTGCAGTGTTCACTGTGCTAATGCTTATTTAGATAAAAGTCTTTTTATCTTGAAATTGGAATTTCCATATTTTGTAGACAACTTGGAGAACTTGCTGTTATAATGCTCCCTGAAGGAAGGTCTCCAAGTATTGCTTTACAAAAGCTTTGTGCCTTTGCATGCATTTGTGAGTTACTGTAAACCAGTTGTCTTGGCTTTTGTTGCAGTTGTCCTACCCAGTCTTTGAACGCTAGTCTCAAACATGCTCTTCTTGGTAACTCTAGTAATGTCTATTCAAGTGGAGTACTTAAAACCGAAGTACTATAACAGCATCTTGACTGGAATGGGAGACTTTGTGGTAGCTCTTTTTTATATTTTGGTTTTATCTGTGACAGAGAAGGAAGGCACAAAAGAATGTAATTTACCAAATACTTAAGAAATCAGCTAAACCTTTATTTTGAAGACAGTTTTTTATCACTATTATTTATAAGCAGAGGAGAAATTTCTTGTTGGAGAAAGCTTGTCTGTTTTCTTTTCAAATTATATCCGGTGTCCAGTTCCATTTCTGGGAAGGAAGATGATTAGGAAATGTTGAGTAAAAATATCTTCTCTTTCCAGTTCTACTGAAATTGTCAACTATATGAAACAGCAACTGTTTTGTATGTATGTTAGAGACAAGAATCTGCTCACTTGATGGAGTATAATCATCTGTGGAAACAGGGAGTTTTGTGCAGCAGGCTGAGGTTTCTTCCTTTTCTTTTAAATCCAATTAATGGACCACAAGGGATTTGTGTATTTGCTAGATGTACTGTATTTATCCAAATCCAAGTTGACTTTGAATTTAAAGCCCCTGGCAGATGTGCAAATAAAGGTGCCATGGGATCTGATGCATGAGTCCCACAGTCGTTCTTCTTGCCATTCCACAAGTGCATGGCAGAAGGCATGATTGTGGGATTGAGCTTCACAACCCATAATGCCTTATTGATCGTGTAAGGAGAGTCTGGAATCCATGATTCTGGCCTCCCTCTGCACTGGCAAGTAGAAAGCTCTTGTGGCTGGGAGCTGTCAGCTTATTTGGGCTCCCAGCTATGGGGACACACCCTGTTGTATGTTCCTGTGCCCTCCTCTCCCCGTGGTCTATTCTGCATGTCCTCCAGCTGCATGCGTCTCCCCTGCCAAATGAATTATTTTAACCTGAAGTTGGATAATAGCTCAGTTCTGTCTTCAAGCCTAGGAACAGCCAGAGCTGAGCCTCCACCTGCTCCAGGCCGGAACTCAAATCTAAGATGAGACTATCCCTCTGCCTGGTACTGTTCAGGGAGCTGATTTTTCTTTCCCATGCTGATTAGGGAGGAAAAACCCTTATCTTGGATTTTAATTAAATACTCAGGGTGGCTTAGAATTACAGATAAAAAGTGATAGGAAGGGAATAAGGTATTAAAATACAAAATTAACCTGTGTCCCCACTCTGTTTCTGTCCCCCCACACACATGCACTCAAAAGCAGTCCACTCTCCTGTCTGCTTTCTTGCCTCTGAGGAAAACCCATAGGCTTTTTGGCACCAGCCAGTGAAGATGAGGTATTATTTGATTGGCATTAAACACTTCTATTATCAACCATGTTTAAAATTTTATTTAAAAATAGAATCAGTTAAGCTAACACTAATTTATTCCTAGTGCAGGTGGGGATTTCAGCTCTGAACTTTAGAGAGAGAAATTCACTTTTTCAGATCTATAGTTTCATTCAGTCTTTGGGCTGTCGCAGTCTCTCTTGGATTGAGAAACGTACTCTCTTAGTCTTAATATACTACTTTTGTCTGGAAGCTGTTTTTACAGTACGCTTACTCATGGCCTGATGGATGCTCTAAATTGATATTGAGACCCTGTTCTTCAGTACTTTTCAATCACACTTCAGTTTGCTTTTGGACATAGTCTGGAAAATTGAGATCAAACAGCTATTGTAAGAGAAGAAGAATGTAGAGAGCATCTACTGTCATATTTCTTACTAAATGAAAGCTGAATCTATTGTACTTGGCCCACCTACCTATAAATCCTGTATAGTGTGAATTTTCTTCGTGGACAAAACTTGCAAAGTAATTTTTCTTTGAGTATAGAACTTCTTGAAATTAAAACGGGTTTGTGAAACAAATGACCCTATCCAGTTATGAAACAATTCAAAACGTCTTGTAGTGAGGCAAAATTGTGGTGGCAGTTGAGCAAGGGAACTGACAGGTATGCTGTTACTTTGTGATAACAGTCAGGTTCATTGAGGTATGTGTGTAACTTGGAGTTTGTCTTAAGGTTGGGGAAATCATATAAAGAGGACCAGGAAAGGTCAAAAAGGTTGCCTGAGAGGAGAGCTTGTGAATGGGTAAGATTATTTAGCATAAGGTTTTTCCATAAGTATCTAAAGGACAGTGAAAGATACGGCTTTCACTATGGTGTACTAGCAAGGCTTTGCCAAGTGTAGACGTAATGACGGGAAAAAAGAATTTCTGTAATGGTTCCTTGAGTCCAAGAATTCTTACCCTTAGATTTTGTTTCTAGAATAGGTCTGGATACATCTGTGGCACAAAGCTATTTTCTTTTTTGGAGTCAAAGGCAATGGAAAGTAGCACAAGAACTGCTCTCAGTCAGAAGCTACTGATTAGTTGCTCTGCTGACCAGCTGCAACTAACTTAAATCTTCCTGCT